GGATGGTCAGGTGACCTGCTGTGCATGGCTGTGCATGACCTCATATGACCTCATCCTTGGTCATATGACCTGATCACCTGACTAGGCTGAGTAAGCAAGATGTTCTAGCAGGTTCCACCACAGAGGTATAAATATAAGGCCTACTCTGCCTGGGACTGTCTCTTCAGACTTGGTCTCTTAGGATCATCCACAGGTACCTATACTGTAGATAGGTCTTAGTCATCAGGTCTACTCCACTTCCTTGTTGCCTGCTTAGACTCTTGGCACTCTTAGGTGAGCAGACTTAGTCAGCCTGTGTTGCCCTAACAGGCACACTGCCAGATATCAAAAGTATCCTCAAATCAGGAGCCTGATAAAAGCAAGAAGCAGCAAGGAGAGCTCAAATTGTGGTCAACAGTAGGGCCAATGTATTGAATCAGCCCAAAATGCCTTTAGTCACAAGAGAGGTGCAGTGGAGTCATGAACAGTCTGAGGGGGTCAAAGGTTCAAACACCAATTGGAGAGTTGAGGAGGTTTGGTGAGAGTTTGATCTAGGTTTGTCACTATCTGACAGTGGAATTCCTGAGAGATCAGCTCTAAGGGGCACAAGGCTACTAGAGCTGGTATATATACATGTAAGAAAAATGGAAGTATAATGGAATCAAAAGAGTAGCTGTGGGACTGTACAGTTTACCATTGTTTAGGGTGGTGCTTCGAAGAAGTCAAGTGGTTTTGCTTCAGGGTTTGTGGATTTGGGCTATACTGAGGCCAAAGTAAGCCTTTTGGTGTCAATTGTATCAAATTTGCACCAAAACTGGGTGAACCCTGACACATGGATATTCAGACACCTCTTGGGTTGGATCAGCATCCATCCATAGTATTGGGTGATCTGTGAGGCAATTCACATCTATTTGTGTGCTAAGAATTGCACATTCCCTAACAATACTGTACCTGCATGAACATATACTTTTGTAACTGGTAACAGCCCAGTGCTTTCAAAGTAAAAGTGGAGATTGTAATAGGTAACAGACTGGTGCAAGTAAAGTGGCATGAATTGGCCTGCTGCAGGCCAATACCCTAATGGAACCATGTTTGTTTGCTTCTGCTCCAGACCCTAAGTCAGAAGCAAATCACATATGATCATGTGGGTACAGTAATACTGACATTATTACAAGACTGAAGTAGTATTGAGTATGACTATTACTATTACTATTACTATGATTATGACTATGACTATGACTATGACTATGACTATGACTATTACTATCACTATCACTATCACTATGATTATTACTATGATTATTACTATTACTATTACTATTACTATTACTATTATTATTACTATTACTATTACTATTACTATTACTATTACTATTACAATTACTATTACTATTACAATTACTATTACTATTACTATTACTAATGTTTTTTTATTATATAAGGTTATATCATTTTCAGGTTAAGGTTCGTGAACTATTCAGGTTAGGGTTACTTCGGGTTAGGTGCTCTTACATAATTATCATCCCAATTTTTTCCTACAAATTGGGGTCCGATGCGTGGCGCGCGAAAAAGGAGGCAAATGCCCGTGAAATCGAACCTCGCACTATCGGCTTTCCATAGAAATGTTATTGGCGGCGTCTGGGGTCCAGAGACCTGGTAGAGGGAGAGGGCGTGCAGGGTGGACAGGTCCGGGTCCGTGTTCGGGTTCACCTGTTCATGTGCCCTGAGGGGAGAGGCTAACGGTCGACCCATGGTGAAAATAGGCGATGTCGGGTTGCGTTTGTCTTCTCCCTTCTTCCTCTCTATCCTCCCCTTCTGACAGAAAGAGGATCAGTCTGAAGAGTCGAACATCCGCGAATCGTGCTCTGTCCTAAAGAGGAAAGAAGGCGTATCCTCCCCGGCGGTATCGTTGTTTCTGTTCCTCTGTTCCGCTTCTCTGGCGTATACCTTTTTATCCCCCGATCCTTCTTCTGCCGGTGAACGTGGCCTCAAGGCACAAGTGACGCATCATTCACTCATAACAACAACACTACTCTGTGCATCCCCTTTACATCCCTTCGCACCGCACACCATCAACATCTCCAACAAGTCAACGTTCACTGCCTATCGCTACCCTACTCCCGCCTTCTATCCGGGTATATCACCCACGAGCATGCTAAGTCTATGATCGCCAAGTGCGACTACACACGTACGTCCCTCCCTCCTCTCTCCCTCCCCCTCTCACCACCACTAGAATCACGCATGACGCACGCCATCTACCCTTTCCCTTCCTCCTCCCCCCACCCCCACCAACACCCCCATTCCCATTCCCATTCCCAAGCAGCACTCGAAGCCCACGCCGCGCAAATGGGTTCCTTCGCACGCAGGCTCACAGCCCAAGCAGCCCTAGTCGCCAATCAAACCCGAGCGATAGAAGACTCTCGCTCCGCCCACGCACTCGGAGTCCCTCCCTTCCTCTTCGACGTGCGGGAAGACAGGCAAGCGCTAGACTGGGCACGGGCGATGGCCTCCGGCTCCGCGCACCCTCATGCGCAGGAACACGCTCGTACCCGCGCGCTCCTCCAGCAGCGGAGGGAGGAAGAACGTGCCCGTGCGCAAGTGGAGGAAGAGCGGCGGAGGCGGGTGGCTGAAGCGGAGGAGAGGGCCTTAGCTAGCGCTTGGGAGGAGTATGAGGCCAGGTGGGCGGAGATGGCTCTCCTTTCCCCTGCTTCACCTGGATCACCAGGCACGGTCGGTTTGGGGTTTACAGACCTTCCCTGGCCCTGCTACCCCGCTCCTCTTAGCCCGGAAGACCTCAAACCACTACCGATCCAGAGGTTTATCCTCTCCCCCTCTCACTCCGCTTCGCAGGGGGCGAAGGAACGGGTGAGGCAAGCGTTGCTCAGGTGGCATCCGGACAAGTTTGAGGGAAGGTGGATGGGGAGGTGTAGCGAGGGGGAGAGGGGTGAGGTGAGGCAAGGGGTCAGGGCGGTGGTGGACGCTTTGGGAGAGGTGCAGGAGGAGATGAATAGGAGGGGGGTGTGGAGTCCTTGAGCGCGCAAGGCGGCGCAGGGTGGGCCGGGGCGGGTGGGGGTGGGCGGTGCTCGAGGTTGGCAATGAGATGACGGCCCCGAGCTGCATCTTGCATCTTCAACGACCGGACTCGAAGGCAGCTCGGTGGTCGACCTGATCGACAGCGGCAGCAGCAGCGGCGGCAACAGCATTAGCCAACGTTAACGTCAACGTCACCCCCTCAGCACGGTTCTCGTTCCTCAACCTCACACCCAGTCCCAGTCTTGGTCCCAGTCAGTCTCGGTGTTGGTCCCAGTCTCGGTCCCAGTCTCAGTCCCAGTCTCGGCAGAGCATAGGTAAACAGGTTGTGTCCCCCCGCGAACTACGCAGTACGCACGCACTATGGAGTGCTCTTGCAAAGAAAATGTATCACTATAGTTGTATTCTTACTAGTTTGAAGGGTCTACGTTTTTTAGTTTTTGCACGCGTTTGGACGCGGTTGTTGGTGCGGTCGTGCGCCTTCAGTCCCGAGTCGACCCGACTTGCCTGACCATTCCCTTGTAGTGTGGACAAGCAGTGCGGAGCCCCTAAGGAATAGCTAACTGACAAAGGACTAGCAAAGGATCTTTGAATTGAGATTAAATCGGAATCCAATTGGTCTTCGTCCAAGGCGGGGGTTGTGAGACACTAACAATGACACCAACAATGACAACGACAACGACATCGATATCGACATCGACAGTACCAGCACTAGTGACAGCATCCTCTGCAGTACCCGTCCCATTACGCGCGATCCATCCCTCACGAACGCCAGGTCTCCCCCCGGTTGCGAGACGCTCAGCACGATAGCACAGAATGAGGTAACGATGACCTCTCCCTCCCTCCGTGTGTCCCTCCTCCGCGTCCGTGTGTCGTACAACCACCCGCGCATACATCGGCAGTTGGGCCGGAGATCGACCCGGTCTTCCCAGATAACAGGATAACAGCGTCCGATCCGATCGTCCACCCCAGAAGCCGAGGTGCCTGAGGTTAAGGGCCCTGGGTTGGGAACCCGGCGTCGCTTAGAGCCTAGAGCCTAGAGCCTGGAGTGTGGGCTGTGGGTCGAGGGAAGGAGGGGAGTGGAAGGGCGAAGCCTGAGGTTGGGAGTCGGAAGTCGGGAGTTAGAGAGAGGAGGAGGGGACAGGTAAGGTAGTTGGACAGAAGAGAAGGGGGTAGACGAATGGACTGGTGGACAGGTGGACGGACGGGTACGTTCCCCCTCCCAGTCCAGTCAATGCCTTTCCAAGCCAACACCCATCCCAGAGTTAGAAGCCTGAGGTTGGGAGTCGGGAGTTAGAGGGAGGGGGGGGAGGGGGAAGGGGTAGTTGGAGAGAAGAGAAAAGTGGTGGACGGATGGACGGGTGGACGGGTACGTTCCCCCTCCCAGTCCACCCAATACCTTTCCGAGCTAACACACCTCAGAGGTTTCCCCGCTCGTCTTCCCTCCCCTCCCCTGACCTCACTCACGTCTGCAGCCTCCTGCGTCCGCACGGGCCGGCGGAACGGGTTCCTGGGAAGAGGCGTGGGGAGTGCGCTGCGGTCGGCAGGTAGAGTCGAGGTCCAGAACCAGAACCAGGGCCAGGGCTAGGGCATGGGGGCACGGATGTACGGACGGTCTGCCTCCTGCCCCCGCCACAAAGTCCCTTTTCGAGAAATCCGCACAGGGGAGAGGGGAGAGCAGATCGATTGTATTCCGTTCCGTTTGGGGAAGGAGGTTCGCAGGCGTCTTGCGAAGTGTTGTGGTGTGTTAGGACACCCGTACGCACACAGACACGCAAACGCACACGCAAACGCACCGTCTCCTGCACCCCACCGCGCGGCGTTCTGACAAACCAGGTCATCCGTTCTCCTGGCTTATCTTTAAGCCTCGAGACGAACAAAACGCAAACCGAAACCCAGGCGCTTGAGGCAAGAAGTGTACCGCTTGCTGAACACCGGTGTCTGCCCCTGAGATACGTATACCGCGTTTTGATCTCGTCGACGACCTCGCTAGGAAAGATGCACCCGGAACACGCGAGATGTGTATCAGCGGTAGGGCCAGCGTATACTGGATCAGCGAGTTGCGCCGCGGGGTTTTGTCATCTGCTGACAAGGCAGGCCTTGCGGGGTAAAAGTCAGGGAGGCCATGCCGCGGGATGATACGGACAAGGGCCAGGCTGGATTACGCGAGCTATGTAACCTTCGCGGCTCTAATTGCTAGACTTTTTGCATAGGAATAGGATATCGCAGCCCAAGAGTGGGATGAACGGGAGAACCTGTTGACTTGGGTGGGCTGACGAAAATTGCTGCAACGCGGGTTTCGCTCCAATGTCGCGGCATTCTCTTCCTCCCTAGGGGGCGGATTCCAGAAACCCAATCTGGGAAATGGAGCAGGATCGTCAGCCGTCATGGGAAGGAGTCCCTCAATATGTGCCTGAACCGGGTCGGTCTTCCTCGACGAAGATGTCTTGCCGGCATGTGGCTCTCAGCGCTTGGCGAGCAGAAAGCGGGGTAAAGCGCCAGCAAAGCAGTCCAAGAAGCTGATTTCTGTGTGAGAAATTCCTCGGACAATCGGCCGCCGGCGATGGCTGACCGTTGGGCTTGTTCTAAATCGACCAAGTTACTGACAGGGTGGAGGTATTCCAGATTATAACCGACGTCGGTCTTCGTACGGGGTAGCTCTTTCGGCGGAGATGTGCTTAATAACGACAAGGATTCGTCGGTACCCCGCCGTGCTTAAGCGCGTATTGAGCATGATCACACCACAAGCGGGTGGTCGCAGCCGCTGCCGAAAGTCCGGCATGGGCACAAGGGGAATTATGATCCTGGGAGGTGGAAAGGGGTGCTTCTGAACCTTTCCATTCGGATGAGGTCAGGCGACTGTCATAGTTTCTGTCGGAGCTAAAGAGCGTCTATAAGTATCTCACTTGCGCTGAGAGGTCTTTACCTCTCTTCCCCTCTTTTACCAATCGATTATTCCTTCAGTACCGCTAATCGTCGTCCCGCCTCGACCTTTCATCACCTTTCTTCCCAGAAATACCGTTCCATGGAATTCCGAGGGAATCACGGGCCCGTTCTCGCGTCCCAGCAAGCAGTCCGCTACGGTCCGTTCGGCGAGCGGCTCACTCTCGACGGGCGCGCTCTGCAAGATGGACGACACAACGTGCCATACCCTGGGCAACGGCTGTCACCCGATGTTACCGTTGTTCCCCTTCATCCCCAACCGCCCAGCCCTCACCTTCTCTATAAGCTGGATGAAGATGCACCAGAAATCGACGACACAGCTCACCGTGGATTCCTAGCGCGCCTACGTGGCCGGAGACGGAGCTCGGCTGCAGCTCGAGAGGCGCTAGGGAGGACGGATACGAGGCAAACGGCGGGGAGTGACGGCGCACTGTCGATCGAGAGCGATGAGGGCGTGCATCGGAGTGCGGAGGATGCGGGACCCGGGCCGTATGAGCTCTATGGGCAATTGGATGGGGCCGAGCTTGCACGCCTCTACACGGCGATCGGAGCGTACCAGAACCGGTGGACGACTCTTCCTTCGCTACCGCGTCGACCAGAATGGACGTTCGCGTCCATCCCCTGGCCGTGCGTATCACGACCTTCTACCCCTTCGGAACTCGACCCGACGGCGATGCGGACGTTCCTCCTCGCTGTCCTCGGATATGGCCAAGATCGGCATTATCGTCTCGGTATGGAGCTTCAGCGATGGCAGCCGGATGACTTTACAACCAAATGGTTGATTAACGTGAAATTCTCGGAGCGGGCCAAAGTCGTTGACGGAGTCGCCGCGGTGTCCCGTGTCCTGATGGAGTTGAAGAACGAGGCGCAGTGACCAGATCAGTCTGATTTGTGATGACGGCGTTCCTGGAACAGTAACCATACCGTACAACAATCTTTGTAATATGCATGAGCCCAATGCAATGACAATAACTCGTGAGCGCTTTGGCAGAAAGTATGGAAAGAATAAGACAACCTGAATCCGCTTGTTCCGTTCGGTGTTAGAAGCTTGAAATCTTCCTCCAATATTTTGCATCAAATCTTGTTCGTCAGTCAACAACCTTGCCATCCTTACCACCTCGTAGTGGTAGAGTAGTATTCTAATGAGATCAAGATGAAAATGGTGTGCGAAGCGACCCTACTAAAAATAGTAACCAATAGAAAGCGGAGGTCACTTGATTTTCCGTCCCGCGCCTCCACTGGCCGATTCCGAAATACCTTCCAGGTCACGCAAATGCAACCTCCTACTGCTTACCTCTGTCGATCATCGCAAGCACCAGAGCGCAATCCAGATCATGTCGAACACGGAGACCAAGCCCAAGGAGTGGTACGAGTTCTTCCCCGAGCCGTCCTACGATACGCCCACCATCACCGCTAAAGAGCTTGCCGAACTTATCAAGACCAAGAAGGCCGGTGTTGACTATATCGTGATCGATACTCGTCGGACCGACTTTGAGGTAACATTGATTTTATTCGGAGTAGATGAGCAGCGCTTGAATATTCGCTAGATCGGCTTCATCAGAGACGCGTTGAATCTTCCTGCCCAGTCGTTCTATCCCACGTTGCCGGTTGTCGTTACCCTCTTCAAGAATATCCCCAAGGTCATATTCCATTGCCAAAGCTGCAAGGCTGTGTCTCGTGGCACACGTGCGGCCGGGTGGTACAAGGACGCCCTCGCCAAAGAAGGTGTTACGACGAGCCAGAGCTTGGTCCTGGAGGGAGGCATCGTCGGCTTCATGGCTGAATACAAGGAAGATCCGGAGCTGATCGTCAAGCTTGAATCATAGTTATGTTTGAAGGGGATGAATGTAAGGGAAGCAAGAAATGTAACAGATTTTCATAATCGGGGCACAAATACCAGCACTGCGAGACGACCGTCAAGCAAGTAGAAACCAGTAGAGCAGATGATTTGCATTATCCCACTCCTGCGAGAGGAGGTTTGCTGGGCAAATAGTATAGACGCAGAACAGTGTGACTAGAGATACATTGAGAGGTGACCTGGGTCGGTGCAAGCGGCTTGCGCCAGACATGAGAATATTGTAAGAAAAGCAAAGCGAGGAAACAGTAGTAACACCTGATTTTGAACCCACACAGTTGAAGCGTCGATAAAAGCAGAATCTACACAGACGAGAGAGACTGTTGAGAGCACTCTTTCGGAGATGACCTATATTGTCCACGTTCTGGAAGACTGACCACCGAGGTGGGCGCGTCGTCTAGTTTTGCACATGGGAAGCGGGAGTCCGCTCTTCCACGTGCTTGGCAAGAAGCTTCTCAGCCTCGGCAACGTGTTCCTTTTCTTCACCGACAAAGTTTTCGGACTGGCTCCTGGTGAAACTAAGCGAGGATCAGCAAGATGAATTTTCGCAACGGAACGGAGCTTGCTTACCCAGGGAGCTTGCCCTTGATGGTCATGTCGGGCTCGGCAACAGCGAAGGGGTTCCCATCGCTAATGCTCAGATTGGCAAAGCTGTGGTTGACGAACCTGTGCGTGCTCTCGTCGCTGCGCACTGCGTAGATGACATCGAGCAGCGTTGCGTTGGGCTTGAGGCGCCAGTAATCGATGGCGATCTTGGGGGCTTGAACGTTGTCCCATTCTGGGAGGCGGCCAGCTTCGAGCTCCTTGATGGCGTGGGTGTAGGTGATGACGGCTTCCTCTTCCAGGCAGCCGACGAAGCGGTGGCAGAGTTTGGGGCTGATGAGGTAGGAAAGGAAGAACAGGTTGTAGAACACACCCTGAGCGCCTAGGACGAGGGTACGGAACAACAAAGAAGGCTGCTTGACAGCCATGAAGGTCATGAGATGCATACGCTCATTTTCGGCCTCTTCGAGCAGAGTGTGGATCCAGCCACCGTCACGCTTCATGAGACGGAGAGAGCGAAGATGGCGAAGCTGTGAAGCATATCAGCATCTATATGCATGTAAACGTGTCAGATTCAACACTCACTGTAGCAGCGACCATCCCAGGGACACCAGCAATACTTTCAAGGAACAAGATACGGTTCAGCCATGCCTTCTCATCAAGGATCCATCTTCTCTTCCTGAGCTCTTCAACCGAAAGCTTCTCGTCCTCCAGGGTGAGTTCCTTCTGCGTATAGCCCGATATCCAATCAAAAGATTTCCGGGTGAAGGAGACGAGGTCGCGGATGAACCGGTCGCTGAAAGTCTGCGGCGTGTGCCTGACGACATCGACAGAGTGAAGCTCCTTGGGCGAGTATACGGGGTGGAAGAGCACCCAGTCTCCGAGTTCGTGACCGACACCAGTCTGTTTCAGCTCGTCCGCTACGCGCGGTGTGCGAATAGGGTCATCTGTATATATAATCAGTATATATGCTAATTGAATGCAACATGAGTAAAATACCCTTGTAGTGGAATCCTTCGCTTCCAACAGAGGTCTCCTCCTTGCCGACCTTCCCGGGTCCTGTAGGTGAGGGGCCTTTCACTCCCTTGTTCGGAGTGAAGAACCTTGACTGAGTCGTCGAGAGGCATCGGACGTGAACGACGGTGAGTCGAGCGGCGAAAGGACGAACAGCAGCGCCTCTTGCAGGCAAAAGAAGAGACATCGTTCTCCGGTGATGATGGGACTAGAGAAGGGGGTAGGAGCCGAGGATAGAAGAGTGATCAGCAGAGCAGATGTGAGCAAGCCACAGAGCGCAGAGTGAGGTAGTCCAAGTGCAGTGAGCGGCGACTTATATCAAAGAAGGTTAGTACGGGAACAGGGTCCTTGAGGTAAAGACCGCGGTGACGGCGCGTTATTCGCGTGGACCCTTATACCCGTCCAATTTGGGTCGGAATCGGCCGGGAGATGACGGCGGTGCCCGTACCAATCGGACCCGCGTTGTTCCGGTCCCATCGCCGTTAGCACGTTCCCGAATGAAAAGCGGTTCAGCCAGCTTGACTTGTTTCACCTGCTCTTGGCCCGTCCGTGCCATCCGTCGCCGGCCGTGCGCCGAGGTCAAGTGGTGTAGGACGGTTGGCTTGGGAGTAAAAATTCCGGATATTGATTACCAATTGATGTCCCCTATACCCATGGTCGCGGGAAGAAGGCTGGGAGAACAGAGCACATCTCCGAGGAATTACCCAGGGTGGAAGGGAAGTGCGGGGATGGACGGACCGATGGCGGGGATCTGTACGCCGACGAAGGGAGAGAGACCGAGCAGGGGGAGGGGGCCAAGATAGGACTAGGGAAGGGAGGAGAATGCGGTTCATTAGTTTATCGACACAGGTTAGTGCAGGACAACAACAAGAGAGGAAGATGTCGCAAAAGGAAAGAAAAACAAACAAAATGATGCAATGGTGTCCCCGTGGCCTAGGGGAACAAGAGGCCGGCCGGCCCAAAATACGTGAGAAGGCTCTGGACCGCCCAAGACGCGAGCCAATCACTCTGAGGGAAAATCGCGTCATTCTTCCAGGTCGTCCCTCTCCGTCTCCTTTGTGTACTTCTTCTTGAGCATGCTCACTAGGTATTGCGTCATTAGAGTCTAGACTGGAATGTGGAATGAGGGGGATGGGGAACGGGGAATTACTCACCTTCCCGCGAGATGTTCGTGCTGTGCATCCAGCCGTCAGGGAAACACTGTACGATCTAGGGATGCGCGATTAGCTCCAGATCGAGATCTACAGGACCTTCTGAAGCCTGAAGCCTCTGAAGGTGAAGCCTCACTCACCCTTTTATACAAATCCTTCCTCAAGCCTTGTTCAGAGACGCTCGACGTACTCCCATCAAACTGCCTATATGTCCAAACCTCAGCACCGCCCATCCAGCACGCGCACGGACGGACTCACGCCTTCTCGTTCGTCAGCTGCGCACTGGCATTACTCAATTCCACCAACTGCCAGAGCACTTCTTTCATCTTCTCCGTCCAGCGATAACGTTTTACAGGTGCTTTCTCTTCCTTTTCGCGTACTTCGACCGAGGCCTCGTCCGCCGCTCCATCAACGGGCATCGCATCCGCCTCGAGGGTAGGCACAGGCTGGGCACTCCCTCCCGAGCCAGAGCCGGAGCCGGGGCCGGGGCCCTTAGTCGCCTGGTGCTGCTCATACACCTTCATCGCGGCCTCGTATTCCGCCTCTGCGCGGGGCCGCTGTGCGTCCACCTCCTTCTTGAGCAGGAGGAGGAGTTCCTCCGTCTTGTCCGCAAGCAGCTTCTGATGGTCGGCATACATCATTTTCTTGATAAGTTTCTGTAGGATATCAGTTTTCCGCCCTGGCTGGACACGAGAGGGGGGAGAGCGCACCATCATCGTATACCGGTTGTAGGGGAAGATCTTAGGCATGACGTTAAAGTAATTATCTCCATATTCCCCATTCTTGAGTGCAAAGATGGACACGCGCTCAAGGATAGGCTTCAAGTTCGGTGGGAACTTCCCTTTCTGCTCAAATGACTCTGGAAGCCCATCAGTAACCCGTCCCAGCCCGGTACAGCAGTAGGCAGACATACCCTTCTCGACCGCCTCCCGTAGGTCTTCTAGCATGCTATCCAATTCCGGGGAAAAGGGGTCCTGTCAATCGCATTCGGTCAGCTATGCCCTAGGCAAGGAACACGGAGGGGAGGGGAGGAGAGAGGACGAACCACAGCAACAAGCGTCTTCCGCTTCTTAGCCGCTCCTTCCTCTTGTATCGTCGCCATAACACTTGCACTCTCGAGTGCCCTCTTCTTCCCCTTCCCCTCCTCCTGCGTTGGAGAACGCATCGCCGGGTCCTTAGAGGGCGTCGTTATAGGAGGAATGCCCGGGCCAGCGGAGACCGCGCGAGGGGGGAGCGAGCCCGGTCTGCCGAGGATGTTGACTTTAGGCTTCGTGCTGCGTTTTTTTGTCGGGTCGCTGTTTGCATTTGCATTTAGCACGCATAGACACGAGGGAAGGGGGGGACACACTGCTTGAGCGCGACGCTCCCGCTGCTCACGTAGAACCCGGCTTGTTTCGTCATGCCCATATACTTAGGCTGGTCGATGATAAGTTCCGAATCGTCAATAAACGGGTCATCAAGATCGTAGTCCTTGCTCCTCCTCTTCCTCTTCACTCCCTTCTTCCCCAACTCAGGGAGAGGCAGTTTCCCCCCAGGAGGGTGGTCATCCTCGCTCTCACTCGAGCTGCTCTCATCAGAATGCACAACCGGGGGAGGCGTCGGGTTCCTCTGTCCCGAAGCGCGCGCAAGCTCGAGCACGTTGATCATATACGCCCCCGGCCCGCCGAGGGTGATGTTGAGCCTTACGGTCGGGAGTGGGGGGGCGGGGGTGGCTCGGTCGGAGGGGGGGAAGTGGCGAGTTTCTGCTTGCGCGGTTTTCGTACGGCTTTGGGAGCTCGTTCGGCCCCGCTGAGCTCGACGTCGCTCGCTGGGACATCGTCTGCCCCTGCCCCTGCTGCGGGTGGGAGGAGGTCGTCCTCTGGCTTGAGAGGTGTGGGGGGGATGATACTCGGTGTTGGGGGTTGTTCGGTTTTTGGCAGGAGAGGGAGCTGGATAGGCGGGAGTGGGAGGGGTACGAGTGGGGGAAGGGGGAGGGAGAGGGGTACTCGAGGTGGAGTGGTAGAAGGTGAGGGCGCACCGGAGGAGTCGGCGGTCAAGTCCACAAAGGGGATCTCTAGTCCATGATTTGGCGCATTATTTGCATTTTGTTGGATTGGAGCTGGGATAGACTGTGTGAGGACGTCTGATGGTGAATTGGATTGGGAGTTTGGAACGGGGGAGAGAGGAGAGAAAGGAGGTGTAGGCGAACTTTCGACGTCCATTTCCATTTCAGGTAATTGACGTGGTTTTCGATAGTTATAATCAAAATTCGTTGTTTGGACGCAGTGTTGAGGGTACGGAGACGCGTCGTGTTGTGAAGAAGCGGAGTTGTGAGATTGTCCGGTGACGAGTGGAATGGACGGGGAAAAGAGGAGCAAAAGGGGGAGTTCTGGTGGGTCAAAGTGAAGGTGGTGTGTGGGTTATATGTGAAATATAGGCTAGGAAGGGCTGGGGCTTGCTTGGAGGGAAGGCGTGCGGTGAATATGCCCCCAGTCGAGCTAACAGTGCAAAAACAGCGTAAATATTAGTACACACAGCGTAACCCTAACCCTGTTTACACAGCCACCAATAGCTTATCCGCAACTCCGTGTACAACAACCCTGACTCTCCTAGCTAGCGACTCACTCACCCCCACCCATGTCATACTTCCTCCCCCACCTCCCCTCAGGATGGCACGTCGACCAAGCCATCCTCTCCGAAGAAGACCGTGTCGTCTGTCTTCGCTTTGGCCACGACTGGGACTCCCAGTGCATGAAGATGGACGAAACGCTGTACAACATCGCGGAGCGGGTACAGAACTTTGCGGTTATCTATCTGGTGGATATCACTCAGGTGCCGGATTTTAATAAGGTGCGCTGGATGCTGGGTGCTGGGTGCTGGATGGGCACTGTCAGGACTGAGCTGATGAGGAGTAGATGTATGAGTTGTACGACCCTTGCACGCTCATGTTCTTCTACCGGAATAAACATATCATGATCGACCTCGGCACAGGAAACAACAACAAGATGTGCGTCCCTCCCCCTCCCCCTTCCCCTTCCCCCCCTAGGCAGGCACTAAACACATAGGACAGAAACTGGGCAATAGACAACAAACAGGAGATGATAGACATTATAGAGACTGTCTATCGCGGAGCGTCAAAAGGCCGGGGTCTGGTCGTCTCCCCCCGGGGTGTGTCCTACACTGTACTATGGCACTATAGAGGACTGACGTGTGCGGTAGATTACTCGACGAGGTATCGGTATTAGGGCCTGTGCGAGGGGTCACGATCACGGTCGCTCTTTGAGGTATCACATGCCCCTATTGGTGCTTGTCAGGGGCTGCTGCTGAGGCTACCATGAGGTGAGGTTGGGCAACACTCTCACACGCCCTTGTCGTGTGCAGTGTAATCCTAGTGATGAAATGTATTAAATGAAAATGAATATCAATGTTGAGTGTGATGGATGAATGTGTGATATGGAATGAAAGACGTCAGGGACGCGCTAGTGGCTCAATCCCTGACTCCTTCATTCACTCACTCACTCTTCCCCCCTCTCCTCCTCCTCCTCCTCCTCCTACCCCCTCACTGATGTCCAAGCGTACCCCCACATCCCTCCAGGCCGCAGCCTCTTCCTGCTCACTCGCCCTCTCATCCCCATCTAACCGCGCCCAGTCAATCCTCTCCTCTTCCCTCTCTCTCGTCCATGACTGGCTAGCACAAGGCAGCACAACAGGAGCAACCGAAGCGAGGCAAGTCATCGTTCTCGCTCTAACCTGGGCATCCGCACTCCGCACCCAAGAGGGAGATCTTCTCTCCTTCGAACTCGACCCTCCAAGGGCACCAGGAGACGTCTACCCAGCCCTATCCAGCCTCTCCTCCGTCCTCGCACTCCTCCTCTCCCCCCCATCTCCCTCCCCATCCCCAGTCACCCTGCTCCTCCTACCCCAGCTCCTCCCTCTGCTCCTTCCCCTCTCCCAGCACCTATCCCCCAAATGGCAGCTCTCCATCCTAGACAACTTCGACCGCCTGCATCTCCTGCTCCCCGTCGTCCCAGGCTGGGAAACGAACATCCACTCCCTCTCTCTCGCGTTCTTCAGCCTTCCCTTCCCATCCCCATCCGCACAGTCAGGGTTCCACCAAGCGCGGGTCAAAGCCGCCCACCTGCTTTTGAGGAAAACGTTTCACGCACTGGTGGACTTACCGACCTACCTCTCCCGCTTACTGGGCGTGCTTTTGCCCCGCGTGCTTGCTACTGTTGGAGCTGAAGAATGCCCTCAGGTCTGGGCGCTCGAGCTTGATTTCCTCAGAGAGTGCGTGGGGATACTCGTTGCGGAGGAAGAAGAGACGCGGGGGGAGGTGGAAAGGGAGAAGGAGAGGGAGGAAGTCGAGCGGGCTAGGAGGGAGGAACTGGCTCTGCGCGAGGTGGAGAGGGAACGGGAGAGGAGAGCGAGGGAGATGAGGGATGACGAGATTATGCCCGACGGGGTGGATATCCTCCGCGAGGCGAAGGAGCAGGAACGACTCCTCGGCCTGGAGGAGTACGACGAGGAGGAAGACGAGGACACGCCTACGATCTCCGGGACTCCGCTTAGGCAGCCCGCGCTCCCCCAGGTAAAGGAAGAACAAAAGGCCTCCGTAGAGGAAGCCAAAAGGAAAACAGACGCAGAGCGGCTCGCGAGGATACTGGCTATACGGCAGTGTCTCCGTGAAGTGGGCGCTTGTCCTTGCCCGGACGTACCTTGCCCGCTCCCGGTGTCGGCGCCCCAGCCTGCTGGGACGGTCCTGGGCACCCCTACCCGTCCGAGGAGGGACACCTTTGCTCGCCCGCAGTTTATTGGGCTTATTTCGAATGTCTTGTCTGGCTCGAGGGACAAGGATAAGGACAGGGAGAGGGAAAGGGAGAGGGATAGACCAGGAGGCGAGGAACCGACTTCCCCCACACCGTCGGGAACGAGCTCTGCCCGAACCCCGCTTTCCTCGGCAGTCAACTCCCCCGCCCGTGTCCTCACAAGCACGTCCCTCCTCGCCCACTCCCTCCCTCCCAGCCCGATAATCCCCCCTCCCGCACCGGACGAGCCCAACCCCACCCTCACCAGCAGCACCACACTCTCCACCCCCCCGCTCCTCTCTCACGCACACCACGCCCAGTACTGCAAGTCCACATCCTCCACTCTAGCGCTCATAAACCTCTTCACGACCCTGGCCTTCTCCCCTCCCTACACCCTGCGTTCTACCCTCTCAGCCCGCCAGCCAGCCTCAGCCCACTCGATCGAGATATTCAGGGATATACTCGACCTACTCCTCTCACGCTCCACATGCCAGCGCGCGAGGCTCACGGCCCTCCAGTGGCTTATGCGCCTGAGGGCGGATAGGGATCATAGGCTGTTTGTGAAACGGGATATCGAGGCTGAGGTTATACCGTTTGCGGCTCTTGTTGGGAGAACGGAAGAGTCGAGGCGAGCGATGGAGGTCGCTGCAGATGCGGAGGACACTGGCACTGGCCCTGCCACCAGCACCAGCACCAGTACCAGCACCAGCTCGGTACCAGCCTCAGCCTCAGGTTCAGGTTCAGTACCGGATACCCCCCTGCCTGAAGAACGCGAGCGATCACGCAACCGTTCTGGGCGAGAAGAGCGTGAGCGGGCTTCTCGTTCCGCCTCGCTAGAGCGTAGCCGTGGTAGCAGGAGCCGATCCCGTCAGCCACCGGCCGAACGCTGGACACGCCCCGAACAGGCTTCTCCAGGTCCCACTCCGCCCATCTGGTCACTCCCCGAAGACCTCCCTTTCCTGCTCGACGTCGGTACCCGGCCTAGCGAGGGGATGACAACTTACGAAATTGGGATCATCCAGCGGATCCAGGAGGGAGATCCGGATGACGCAGAGTACATCGCCAATACTGCACGGCACTGGCTTCCCGTATCTGTCTATCTCTCCGTGTTGATAAACCTGCTCAGGACGGAGACGGACTGGGAACTGGTCTCGTACGTCCTTGTGCACTTTACGGCCCAGCTGGCGAATAAACACCTGTTTTGTGGTCCCAAGCTGCAGAAGATCATACCTGACCTTGTGGTTGCTGTTACTCAGAGCGTCACTGCCGGTAGCCCGATAGACAGGATCCCCAAGCCGAAGGGAGTCAAGAACACAGATGTACATGGGTTGGTCTACAACCTCATCGCTATCCTTATCGGGCACAAGGGGAACCTCGAACGCACGCAGCAGGACGCGCTAGTCGACGTACTCCAAGAAGGGCTAACGCGGGACTCAGCCACAGCCAAGCCCTGCCTCCAAGCGCTCGCTATCGCATGCTTCGAACTCCCACTCTCGATCACCCGTTCCCTCCCCAAGATCCTCCCCAAGCTCACACAGATCATGTCCGCCTCTGCGACCAGCGTGCACATCATCGAGCTCATATGTGTCATCGGTTCTATCCCACAGCTCTACAGCAACTTTACAAGGGAAGACTACCAGCGCGTGTTTGGCGTCGCGGTCCAGTATATCCAGTACCACAATAGTGCGCAAGCGACCGAGACGGGCTTGTCATATTCCCTCTCGCAGCATATCCTCCTCCTCGCGTACTACAGTATCTATATCTGGTTCCTCTCTATCCCGCTACTCGAGAGGCCAAAGTACGTCTCGTACATCGCACGCGGTCTCCAGCTTGCGGTGCAGAACAAAGGCGGGATGGACGAGCCTACGGAAGTGTGCTTCGACTGGCTCACAAGGTACACATGGGCCAACGCCGACCCCAAACCACACAAGTCCTTCCTCTCGGACGTGATCATGCGCCCGACGAACGAGCCCGACACGCGAATCGAAGAAAAACACTATCTCCAAGGTCATTCCATCATCACCATCCGCACAGTGACCAAACGCGGCTGGAGCGAGATCGTCTCCCACCGCCCGTCGGGCACTACACAGCTGATATGTAAACTTGAGAATTTGCCAACTACAGGACCGGGAGAGTTTGCCCCGGATCCTGTTACGGCTCAGGCGCTGGTTATGGCTGATCGGGACCTTAACGTTATTGGTCGAGGTTTACCTAACGAGCCTCTGACTCTTGATGATGGGACTGTACGTGAATTGCGTTGATTCTCCTATTATGTCTGATCATGATTCAGATGATATATCGTCATACTGATGAACAGATTGAAAAAGCTCGCCAGGAGGCACTCGATCTCTTTGGCTGGACCCCCCGAGGCAGCGACGGTGGTCTCCGTCCTTTGGACGCCATGACCGGCTACGTATGGGTCGGATCTGCGCCATCCCAGAGACGCAAGCCGGTGTCCATCCATCCCAGCTTCCTTCCGGCTGTGATTGGCCCCTTCCCCGGAGTGCCCACACCATCTAATCAGTTCATCCCCCTTTCGCCGAGCGAGACGCTCGCTCGTACCCTGCGCCTCCTGAATTCCTCTGCCGTCATCGACGTTCACAAAGTCGGTATCATATACGTTGGCCCTGGTCAAACCACCGAAGCCGAGATTTTCAGCAACCAGAATGGATCCCCGGGATACACGTCTTTCCTCGTCAACCTAGGTCGGCTCATTCGGTTAAAGGGCCAGAAAGACGTGTACAGCGGTGGCCTCGATCTTGAAAACGACTTGGATGGCGAGTATGCGTACGCGTGGTGGGACGACATCGCCCAGGTCATCTATCACGCGGCGACCCTAATGCCGAATCACAAACATGACACGCGATTCGACTTGAAAAAGCGGCATATTGGGAATGACAATATCCGCATCGTCTGGAACGACTCTGGCTTGCCCTATAAATTCGACACGTTGGCAACCGAATTCCAGTTTGTCAACATCGTGATCGAACCTCATTCGGCTGGATCTTTGTCTGCTTATAGTCTTGGGTCCCACTCTGACGAATACTACAAGTTGACTATGCAGCGCGCTCCCGGGATGCCCGAATTTGGACCTACCGGAACCCTCAAGATCGTATCTGCACGAAACTTACCCAGTGTCGTGCGCCAGATCAGCCTCTTGGCTGATTTCTTCACCACGATCTGGACGTTCACCTCTGGCGACAGGCGCAGAGATGAATGGGTCAGCAGTTGGCGCGGCCGATTGCAGGCCATCAAAAGGTTGCAGGCGTATGTCCGCTCCTCTCAGCAGGCCGCTGAGGGACCTGGCGGCGCGCCCGCAGAAATGGATTTTTCCTTGGCTTATTGATTTATGGACTTGCTTTCTTACGGGCTGTATATGCTCCCCTCTCATTGCTTCACACGATACCAGGATTGCAGCATTGTTTGTAACTTATGTATTTATTTGGATTTGGGATGACTTCACGCTCTGCTAGCGCTTGCATGATTTATTCGTATGGTAATATGCATCTGTTGTTTCCATTGAGGAAGGGCGCACTGCCAGCGGTTTTGCCCTCAACACAACGAGGAGGCATATGGATTTCCTTTGACAGATCGTCACTGATTAGCTCATTAGCACAACTCTTTTCCAGTGGCTTGAAATTGTCATGCATAGTGAGTAATGTCTTTCATCACTCGCACATCAGTCTGAGAGGTCATTGTGGTGCATTCGTCTATGACTAGCACGTAACAAGGTCGTACCCTAGGCGTTCCAAATAGATTATATCATAACATCAAAGTCAAACTGGCAACATTTCATCCCACAAAGAAAGAAAAGATAGAAAGAACCGTATTTACGCGACAACAGCGGCATGGCTGTTGACGACGGGTTCCTTCTCGTCTAGGTGATCATCGGAGGATGCGTAGACCTCACCGACGCCAGGGATGTACTCGGTCTTCGGCCCGAAGGTACCAAAGTAATCCTCCGCATCAACCTCGCCCAAGCCACGGGGAGGCCAGATCTTGCTCAATGTAACATGAAGCGTGGCGGAGATGACAAACCCGGCGGGGTACGCGAGCTGATACATATGTGTCCAACCTTCGGAGACAGTCACAGAAGGGTTGACAGCGGCGATGAAGCCGGGCATCAGAGGCCAGACGCCCATCACCCAAGCGATAACAACACGCGGGTTGACACCCCTGTAAAAGAAGTAGATGGACTCGTCGTTGGCCTTGTACAGGTCGGTGAGCTTGAGCTTCCAATTCCGCACGATAATGAAATCGGCTATCATGCAGCCAGTCAAAGGCCCGAGGAAGACTGAGAACGAAGAGAGTACGGTAAGGAAAGTGCTCGGAACCTGAAGGCAGCGTTAGTAAACACATCGAAGCAAATAAAACCGAGCAACGCACGTTCAGCAGCTGCCAGGGGCAAATGGCAACACCAACAATCGAAGTGAGATAGGCACCGCGGCGGATGTTGAGGAAGCGAGGGAACAGACCCGAAAGATCGATACCACCGGAAATGGCATTACCGGCAACGTTGATTCCGAACTGCGCAAGGACAAATGCGCACCCGCCGAAGAAGACAGCTGCACGGGCCCCAGGGCCGCCATGGAACTGAATCTGGGTGAGCAAGGCGTACGGGGCCCAGAGCAACTCCTTGACGTCAGGGTAGAATCCAGCTGCACAAGAGGTAACGATGATGCCGATGAAGGCGGTCAGCGATGAAGCGACGGGGACGATGATGGCCTGGGACCAAATCTGATCGGTTGGCTTGACAGCGAAGCGGGTGTAGTCGGACTGGTTAAGAATACCAGCACAGATACCACCAATGACGGTGTTGATGCCGTAAACGAAAGCCCAGCCCAGCTTGCTACCGGTCGGAGCAACGACGCCAGACACTTGAGATGCCGCGGTCAGCATGGGTCCACCACCATGCTCCTTGGCAAGGGCCCAGATTAAAATTGTGAAGGCCGTGATGGTGATCGAGATAGATGCGCCAAGGAATGGTTTGCGGTAGTACTCGGGGGGAATGTAGATCAGGGGCAGGGAGATGACCGTGAAGATGATGAATGCAATGAAGTCATTCAGCTCCATGTTCGCACTTGGGGGAAGTGTGTTGGGAAGTGTGTAGAAGGAGGGCCAGATGGCACCGATCACAACCTTGACAGATTGGCCACCGAACCACAGCTGGCAGGCGTACCATACGAAAGAAAGCATGATGCGCATGAGGAGAGGTAGGATGGAACCGAAAATACCCCAGACAAAACGGTTGTAGACCGGGAAAGGAATATGGTACATGGCGCTGTTTCAAATGTTAGGAGCGAAGATCCTTTCGCAGTGAAACGCAAACTTACCCTACGAAACCGTTGCCGACTACACAAGCAGCGACAAGCAGCTCGCCAATGATAACGACAACCATGGCTTGCCATACGTTGAGGCCCAAAGCAAGCAGTGAGGAAGCAGAGGTCCATCCAGAGATGTTAACGGCCGTCAACATCCATAGGCCAACGAAAGACCAGGGGCCCCACGTGCGGCGATTTGGAGGAAGAGGGATGATATCTCGGTTTAGAAGCCAGTGAGCGGTGCCATCCGGGTTGACTTCATCATTATGAGTCGGCACCTCGAGCTTCTTAATGATGCTGGTGATGAGATTGTGGTTAGGGTATGTGGCAGAGGACTCCGAAAGGCAGACTTACCTCTTCAAAGTTGACATGATGGATGATCGTCAGGCAGAGAGACAAGCGCCTGAAGTCCTGATGCAAGGTTGGACGTCACCGAAACAAGGCACGCGGATGATGGTGCTTCTTCCTGAGAAAGATCGGATGCTCTCGCAGTTTCATCACGGTATTTAGAGTCTTCAGACCAAAGCCGCCTGTTTCCGGGGTGACACAGATAGCTATCTCTATCATGCTCCGCTGTGGAGAGTGAATTAGGTTGATATCGGCTATCTTCGTGCCGAAGAAGGCGAATAGAGCTCCTTCCGCTGCATGGCTTCCGTTGCCCCAGACAGGAAGAAGCCTCCAAGACGACGGTATCATGTTCGCATCGATCTCGCATAATCTCTCGGCCGATGATTGGCTACAACTTCAGCTGGGTGCCTTGAACGATAGAAAGAAAGGTACAGCAGTACTAGTTTAAAGTGGCTTCGGGACATGCCATTATCCTGAGAAGCTCGTTCGGCCTCCGCACAGCCGTGATCGAATGGGCATCAACCAGGGGTCAGAGACATAGTGTGGTTGAATTGGGCCAGAATAGGCTTAAGTGGACCAATCGCCAAGAAAAGATAGGGATTTTGGGCGCTTGTTTTGACAGAGAGAAGTTGGTCCCGTGCCCCCAGACATTGAATGGGCGCTCGATTTCAGAGGACATGATAGCCAATGGTCGCCCGTTATGGGACGTTGAATGGGGGTGTTGGTGGTTACAGATTAAGTTGTTTTGCACTGCCACATAACCCACCCGCTTCTTTCGGTGTGGACCCTCGGATTCCGGATTCCGCTCTTCCTGAAAAGGTAACTTGACTTCGTTTGTTATCATCTTTCAGTCAGCTATCTCCATCGAGTTTATGCTGACTCATCTCAAGATCCAGCGGGCGCCTATCTGGGACACGCCTAGTGTTATCGGTGAAAGATAGCTTGGACGAAATAGTGCTCGGGATAATTCTTTACTCCCTCATGCGGTAATTTGCCGCAAATGTCCAGTTTCGGCCGGTCTATCGTTCCTCCAGAGTTCGGTCAGGTCGCGGACCGATCCTGAGAAGCACACATGACTATGGGACATCTCCATACGCTTCGTTAACTAAGCAATGCATTAGGGAGCTTGAAAGGGTAACGTGCCTTCGAAGAGTGCCGCTTCCATTCCTCCATCAAGTCCCTGCACAACAACTTAGGCATGCTTCGCATTGGGGTCGACGTTGGCGGTATGTCCATTGGCGTGCCGTGATCAGTTGACACCAAACGGGTGACGATGCATAGGTACGAACACCGATGGTGTCTTGATCGACGTCTCTAGGACCGCTGAACCCAACCGTGGTATTCTGGCGTCTTTCAAGAGCCCTACGACCCCCAATGTATCTGAGGGAATCGAGACGGCCGTGCAGACCGTCATGGAGGAAGCAAGGGTAGATCCTCACGAGATCACATCCTTGACGATTGGAACGACGCATTTCATCAATGCTGTTCTCGAGCAGGACGTCAGGCGATTGAAGAAGGTTGCAGTTATTCGTATCTGTGGACCATACACTCGCCGTGCGTCTCTGCGCTTCCCCAGGTTGATCTGATGTCTTACCTTTCTTCAGAATGTCCACCTTTTGTTGACTTTCCACCTCAGCTCCGTGACATCATGGAGGGCCATGTCGGCTATGTCGACGGTGGTCTCCAGATCGACGGTAGCGAGATTCTCCCCCTGAGTGAGGAACAAGTTGTCGCCGAGTGCAAGATCATCAAGTCAAAGGGCATTAACAACGTTGTCTTGGTTGGCGTATTCAGTGCGCTCGATACGGAGGGGAACTATGAGCTGAAGGTGAGAGAGGTCGTCCTGAGGGAGCTTGGAAGGGACGTCAATGTGGTGTGCTCTTCGGAAGTCGGCCATCTGGGTCTTCTGGAGCGTGAGAATGCTTCAAGTGAGTGTCTTTGAAAGAGAGCAATAGCGATAGCTAACGCTTGAATACAGTTCTCAACGCTTCTATTCTTACCTTCGCTCAGCGCACCATGCGTGGTTTCAAGCGCGCCATGCACCGTCTTAATCTCTCTTGCCCTCTCTACCTCACTCAGAACGACGGTACCCTCACGACAGCCGCCAAGGCAGCTGCTCTTCCTATCCGCACGTTCGCCTCTGGCCAGACAAATTCGATGCGCGGTGCTTCTTACCTCGCAGGACTGGATCTTCGCAAGGAATCTGGGAAGTCGATCATTGTTTGCGATCTGGGCGGTACAACCTGTGATGTTGGCGTGCTACTTCCCTCCGGTTTCCCTCGTCAAGCTGCCGCATACATCGAAGTTGGTGGCGTCAGGACCTCGTTTTCGATGCCTGACCTCTTGAGTATCGGTTTGGGTGGTGGCTCGCGTGTCAGGCATGAGGAAGTTCACGGGAAGACTACTGTCGGCCCCGACTCGGTCGGTCACTTCATAACGCGCGACGCCAAAGTATTTGGTGGTGACGTCCTGACTGCGACTGACATTGCCGTGGCTCTTGGCCGAGCCGACGTCGGCGACAAGTCGAAGATCGCAGACGTTACACCTGATCTTGCCGCTGCCGCTCAGGCATCGATCAAGAAGCAACTCGAGAACGTCATTGATCGCATGAAGACGACGCCGGAGGATGCGACCGTCCTCATGGTTGGTGGTGGATCTATCATCGCACCTGATTCGCTAGAGGGTGTTGGTGAGATCCTGCGTCCACCGTTCTTTGGCGTTGCCAATGCTGTTGGTGCTGCTATGGCAAAGGTTGCAGGCGAGGTCGATACGATCGAGATCCTCGAGGGCAAACAACTTTCTGAAGTGCTCGAGAAGATCAAGAAGGATGCACTTGCGCGCGCTATCGCTGCCGGTGGTGACCCTGGCAAGGTCTCGGTTGTAGAGGTGCAGAACCTGCCTGTGCAGTATGTGACGAACCAGGCGACCCGCATCATTGTCAAGGCTACCGGAGAGCTCGGCGTTGAAGGAGCATCTGGTATTGGTCAGGAAGACATAAAGATTATTCCAGAGGAAGACGAGGAGGTCGAGCCTCCGAAGCAAGTTCTCAAGAAAGCGAATCAAATAGAGAAGTTTGACCCCCTCACATATAGGCCAACAATCAACGAGCATCGCGAGTGGCTGCTTTCTGAGACCGACCTTGAATGGATTGCCGAAGGTGCCTACATTCTGGGCACTGGTGGTGGAGGCTCGCCGTACTCTCCTATGCTGATGTGCAAGGAGCTCATCCGGGAAGGCAAAGTGCCGAAGATCGTGGATCCCGACGATGTTCCCGCTGACAAGCTCTTTATGCGCACTTGTTTCATGGGTTCACCTTCCGTGGGCATGGAGCGTATGACTGGCGGCAACGAGATGCCCGCTGCGCTTGACGCTCTCATGAAGCACATGGACATCACCGAAATTGCTGGCACAATCTCCGACGAGATTGGTGGAGGGAACGGTATCGCACCTATTGTCGTCTCTGGCAGCATTGGGGTCGCTACCCTCGACTGTGACCTCATGGGACGGGCTTATCCGAACATGGACCAAACGCTCCCTGCCGTCTTCGGCATTAAACATGCCAGCTACCCCGTTGCGCTCGCCGATGGAGTTGGCAACTCTTTAGTTATGCATACTGCCAAAGAGTCGAAGTCCGTCGAGACAATCTTGCGTAATGTCTGCACTACCATGGGCTCCAGTGCTGCGGTGGCGGTGGCGCCTTTGAACCGCAAGCAATGCCAGGACTATGGCGTCCCATACTCCGTCTCCCAATCTTGGCGGTTGGGTCGTGCCATTGCCATTTGCCGAGCAAAGAACGACATGAAGGCGGTTCCGTCCGCCATCTTCGAAGTGCAGGGCGGCAAGTGTCTGTTCGTGGGCAAGATTGTCGACGTCAAGCGCGAAGTACGTGCCGGGTGGACATGGGGTGAGGTCACCATCGCCGCCTTGCAGGATGATGAGCAGGACGAAACGACCAAGGATCCCATGGTTCCCACTTACGGACCCAACGACCTGCTTCGCATTCCGTTCCAGAACGAGAATATTGCTGCCTATCTGGACAAACCCGACAGGACTCGTGAGATTCTCACCTCTGTACCCGATCTTGTATCTGTCCTTGACAGTCAATCTGGCTCCAACCTTGGTACACCGGAGTATCGCTACGGTCTTCGCGTTACTGTCATTGCCCTCGCAGGCGATGAGAAGTGGACTAAGACAAAGCAAGGACTGATTTCTGGCGGCCCGCCTCGATTTGGCCTTGACATTCCCTTCGTCGCCGCTGGCAAGTACAGGACACCCAGCAGCGTTATCAAGGAATATTCTCCGAAATAAGCAACATCTTTCTCATAAGCCGCTGATTATTTGTCTATCTCGTTCTTTGGGCTACTTTTTCGCTGATAGATAACATCGATGTGCCAAGCATGGGGGTACTACTGTAGAATGCGGGCACTCTTCGGAGAATAATCACTAGTCGTTGTACGCTGCGATAATTCTGGGCGATGTGAACGCAGCAAGCCATGCCCACTATCTTTGATTTCCCGCCATGCCGTTGACTGCTCTAGTCTACAGGGGCTCGTTAATACACGGACAATGGAACGCGTTTGTCAGGTTGTGCCAAGAACCCCCCTACAAGACAAAAGTTGAGGCTCGGCACGGCACATACGCCGAATCGTGCATTACCACGGTTGTCTCTCATGGGCGCTTCATGAATGAATCCGCGGGAGAAGCTATGATTACAGTTTGGTTATCTATTGAACGTGGTCTTTGTGGCCTTTCAGGGACGATAAAGACCGTTCTTCATCCATGCGCTGCTGCAAATCCTTCGGCAAGTGCTTCCCGCACTCCCACGCGTTCAGAGGAGGCCAGGGTACTGAGGCAACCAGATGATTTAGGCGCCTATTTGGACCAATAGATACTGTTCAGAAGGCCTATCTCGGGTTTGCTTTCCGATTCCATATCACGATCAAGAGTCTCAGCATTCAGCATGGCCCGCCTGGCCTCAATCAAGACACCACCACCACGAAGCGTTCGGGATCAGAGGAGCCGATGGAGCCGCCGCAACAAAACCTGAAAAAATCAGGCGACGCTGATGAGTTTGATCTTCCTTACACCTTTCATGATTCAAAAACACGGATCTGTCCTTTCTGAAACAGAGGTCTCCAGGATCGAATGTGCTCACGTCCTCGGTACCGATGGATAGCAATGGCTCCCTTCCTTGGTGGGTGTTGATAAACAGAAGGTACGAAATTGGTTGCTACCTCACGGTAGTGGATCCGGACGGTGTAACAGAAAAACATTTGATTCAGGCGCATGTTGACTGTCATGGGAATCAGTGCTTTCATCTCACGTGCTTGATCCTATAGATGGGCCCACGAACGAATATTTTCTGACACCATTGGAGGCGAGATCGCTGGTGACAATGATGGTAGCCTCATGCTTGTTGCTGGCCTACGAAACTGGAAAGACTCTATTGTGCTTTCATCGTTCATGCCGCACGATTCACCCATCTCACTGGATTTCCGTATATCAGCAGTATTATAACCTGTCAAATTACGATCCTCGGCTCTCTCGTCTAGGCACCGAAGTAAAAATCAAGGGAAGTCTTGCAACGTAGACAGAGCGAAACGAGTCCCAGATGACAACCTGTGTTCGCACTGTTTCTTTGTAAATTCAAGCCGTGCATTGTCAAAGGTCATTGGTGAAGGAAATTTGATGATTCTTGTGAGTGACAGGACAAGGTTCGGCAGATCGAATGGCCGAATAGAAATGCACCATATGCATGGTGTTCGACCCTTACGTTGGTCTTTTCGATCTCCAAATACTGTGCCGAATTTGACTTTCCTGGTTGTTTTCCATCGTCTGCTGGGCATCAAACTCTGGCAGCTCGTAGTACAGCTGGGGAATTTGGCACCAGTTGTATACTGCCCAAGATGCGCTCAGCCAGCCAAGAGAAGGCCAACCCGATTAGATCGGCGTGCCGAAACCGTCTGTGGGGCTGCCTCCCGTGCGGGACGGTCAAAGAAGGCTGGGCGACGTCTTCGACCAAGGATCATTACTCCTTTTCAACTGTCTAGTCACATCATCTAGTATGCCTATCCCCACAGAAGTCGTTGGTTCGCTTCCCCGGCCTACGGGTGAGTGTCGTGTCCGGACCGGCACTTACGAGGACTTGATGCAATCTCGGTTCAGCCCTTCAACATGCGTTCGCTCAGTACGATGCGGGAATCATCAGCAAAGACGAGCTGTTCCAAGCACAGGATCAAGCAGCGGAGGACAGCGTTAAGCGGATGATCCAAACAGGGGAGACGTACGTGACGGATGGAGAGCAGAGGACGAGCTCGTTCGCTACGTATCCCGTCGTCGAGTACGTTGTGTGTGCCTTGGGTTGTTGAAACAGTGTTTCTGACGTATCAACAGTACTCTCGGAGGGAAAGGATTGGCTAGTACCTTGAGGGCAGGCGGACAGTACTTCGTACGCGTATACGGCTGGGGACAGATGAGACCTGCGACTCACAATCACGAAGGCAATCTTTGCTGATGGACACCATCGTCAACTGCCCAGCCTCATTAGCGGACCATTCAGGTTCGCCAACTATATACGCTCAGCTATCAGTTTATGATACTCGCAGGTACTCGCACTACGCGTACGATAACTTCAAAAAGTCCAAGCCTTACAGCGGCTCTCATCCCATGAAGACCGCTGTCATCGCACCCAGCATGCTGTATCTTCTGTACTCTCTCAACGAGGAGGTAGCGGGGAGATGTTTGTCAAGGATTTGGTTAACGAGGTAAAGCAGTTCTCCAGGGCATGGGACAGGTTGTTGAAGATGCAAACAGTGCGAAAAAGACATCCGAGGCTGTTTCGCCGCCGGCGCGCAACGCGTCTCGATCGACTTCACGGAGGGCCGGTTGGCCGCTAAGAATGATCCTCGCAATCCATGGACTGGTGCGCATCTGCTGAAGACGTTCATCGACCTGAACAACAAGGTTCTCGACCGCTTCACCGCTGAGGAGCGCAAGAACATCGGCGTCCACACCTGCCCTGGCGGGGACTGCGACAGCGTGCATTCGCTCGATGTGGATTACCACGAGCTCCTGCCCTCGCTATTCCAGATGAACGCCGGATACTTCCTCATTGAGCTGGCGAGCGAGAAGGACAAGGCGAAGGTGTACAAGGAGATCGGGAAGACGATTCGCAGCGATGCGAACGGGGTCAAGCAAGTTGCATTTGTGGGCGTTATCAACCCGCTGAATCCCGAGGTGGAGACGCCTGAACATGTATGCGAAGCTCTGCTGGAAGCTGCCAAGTATATTCCAAAGGACCAGCTCGGCGCGACGGATGACTGCGGTTTCTCGCCTTTCTCCATTGATGTCAAGCCCAAGCACGGGAGTCCAGACTTTGCCCGGGACGTCGCATTCCAGAAGATTGCCAATCGTGTAAAAGGGGCTAAGATGGCGAGCGAGAAACTCGGGATTTGAATCGGTCATTGCATGCGCGGGGGTTGATGGGGAGTATCAGCGCGACCTTCCTCAGGCCGTCATTGTATGCCACGTAGGACTTTCAACAGTCCCTGCGTTGTACTGTAACACTACAGCAAAGCAACTGAAATTCTATCCTGTGTTGACAGAGATCCAGTCTGTTCGAACACAGTTTCCTGCCTTCCAATTTCACCGCATTCTTCTCGCGTGTGAACGCCTCAGCCCGAGCCCATGGTCCCGTAACCTTTCCCCATCCCGTACCAGCGGCGCATTCACATTCTCAGCGTCTCCTTTCTGCCGGATGCCGGCACCGCATGCATCTCTGGCTCAATCAGCTTCTCTTTAGAGGCTTCTACGGACTCGGCACGCCCTGCTAATTTCCGTTGTCAAGGTGGGAACGGAGCCGCCCGTGACCCATCCCGAGACACGGGCTCGGTCACCCTTGTTCCGTGTCCACGGCACGTATTAGTATCAATATCAATCTTCCTCCGGTCCGTCCTCCTGGTTCCTGCTTTGACCCGGGAGATTGGTCTGCCTGAGAGTGTGGAATGTGGGGTGACTGGACGTGCACATGATCATCAGGGTGTCCCTGAGAAGATGAGGTGTTCGAGTGTTTGACCACATATTTTGTAGCATGATGACCTCGCACGGAACAGGATTGTCTGATGACATGGCACCTGTCACCCCCTTTAAGGGTCACTCCTCTCTTACACCAACATATCTGTACTATCTGTTGATACTGGTTTGCAAGATAGTTAAAAGGTATACAAACATGTATCAGTCATGTGAAGAATCTGTTGGCATTCTCAGATCTGCACTATGATACAGTTTAATGTTCTCAAATTAGTCCATTAGGACACATTTACAGTCATTTACCTGATCTATTGTGCACAGTCAACCCCCCTCTGTTTGAGGCTTGGGATTTGTTCCTGCATAAGACAAACTCCATTCAAGCTCATGGTGTCTCATTGGGATCACCAAGGTAGGGTGTGCTGGTCTGATGCATGGAGTCAGTGCTGACTCTTTGTGCAGGATCTTTTCCCTTCAAATGTATCACTCCACATCATGGTGCAAGGTTTGATAATGAGGATGACATGGTCAAAGTTGAACTGCGGGATACATCAGATTATCCTTTGTGTGCTTGCTTAGGTGTGACCTGTATGTAGAGGTCTATTGGTCAAGATCACATCATATCTAATTGTACCTTGATAGATCAGTTACTAGGTGCTGCCTACCCCCCTATGAATAAAATAGAGGTGCAGATGTTTTGCACTGTGGGGTACATCTGGTGTTGGAGATTGTTCCCCACATGCAGAGTGCCTCATATAACCATGGTACCCTATGCTGTTGATGGACTTTTGGGGGCTGGTGTCACCATTCCCCCATCTCCTCTAACTAAGTGAGCCTCCCCAAAGATCTCCCACCACCCAGTACCTTCCCAGTTCACTCTTCCAATACAGGCCACAAATTCATTCTCATCCTCCCCTTTCAACCCAGCACCCCTGGTGCCTGATTTAATTGATATCACACATGCAAGATTGGCACAGCTCTCCCAAGCAAAATCAGTGCACTCTGTCAGGGCACCAGCTCATTGCTTGGTCAAGAGACATGACTAAGCCTTTATGACA